ATGTTTCACTCAGCTCAGTTTGAATTTTTCATAGGAAAGAAATAGCAGGTCCTCTTTCGTGTTTTCTTCCATCTTTATCAGTAAAGACTTCCACAGTTAGGGACACTGTGAAAAGGGGCCAAGTCTAATCACATGGTTTTCTTGAATGATCCTCAGTTTTCCCAAGTTGTGAATTGTTGGATGATTTGAGCTTTAAGAACTTAGAACAAATGAGTTTTCTGCCCCTCCACATTTAATCAATCTAAAAATTCCTCCGTTCTTGTTTTATTTGCTGTGTCCTTAAGTAAATCTTTATCTTGTGACACTCATCCATGTAAAATTCTAAGCAATGAGTTATCAATGAACATTCTCCCAAAGCTATCCCCTGTGCACATACCATGTGTCAGCATTGTACATTGTTGTGGTTATTTTGCACCCCCTCATCAAAGTCAGACATATATAAATGCTCGATATACACTTTCCTGATGAATCCAGTTTTGGTGTTAGGTCCTTCCTAACATGATGCTCCAGTCAGAACTAAGAATTGGTTGCATGTGTATTGATGGAAATTAATAATCATATCCAACAAGCTTATGGTTTGTTTAATTTATATGGATCAGATGGGAGACTCAATGGCTATCACAAACTATATAACACCTTTACATTAACTATGTTATATAATTTTTCTACATTTGAATTTTTCTGTGATGAATATGCTATTATTAACCTTGTCCTCAGCAGAGGACACTGAGATCCAGAGAGGTAAAATAATATATTCAAACTCGGGCTTCCCTGGTGGTGTAGGGGCTAACTCTCAGCACTATCACACTATCGCCACTGCAGCCTGAGTTCAATCCCTGCCAGGGGGCTAACCCACATGGCACAGCAGACCTCTCCTGTCTTACCTGCTGCTCCCCTTAGCAGCATATTTCAGTAGATCTGCCTGTTCTGCTCCCCACTCTCTCTCTGTCTCTGTCCCCACCCCCCCACTTCTGGCCTATACTCCAGTTCTTCTCATAAATAAATAAATAAGTCTTTAAAAATAATAATGTATTCAAACTCACCAATTATGGGGCCTGGTTCTTTTTTTTTTTTTTTAAAAAGATTTATTTATTTTTACACAAGAACCGGGGTCCAGGCCGGATGCGCAGGAGGGTAAGAGAATTCACCAGAGACAGAGCGGGCACCAGAACAGGCAGACTGATGAAATACACTGCTGAGGGGAGCAGCAGGCGTGACAGGAGAGGTCTGCTGCACCATGTGGGATTCTTGCCAGCTGGACCAGATCGAAACCACGCTGCAGAGGCTGAGGACAGCTTCACAGTGTGGCACTCAACTGCCTGCACCACCAGGGAGGCCCTATAGGGCTTGGTTCTTAATTCTGAAATCTGTCTTCTATGTTGTCAACTTGGTACAATTCAACATAAGTGTTTGGCTCTTTCAACCATTCATTCATTCATCAAACCACTATTATGTTAAGAATAACATAATATCCAACAAATTCAATATTGTTTGTTTTTAAAATAAGGTGGAGTTATTAGGTTTTTCACCAGCAAATGATTAATAAACCCTAAAAGGCAGCAAATTGGTTTTGCTTTTTTAATATCAAAAAATCAGGTGCTTTGGGGAGTGAATTATTTTTCTCCCCACATTTTGGCTAATCAATTTTAACCTATTTTCTCCTCACTAGCGAGGAATTATTCCAGTTTTAAAACCTCAGCAAACTGGAGCAAAAGTATGTTGCAATTTTAAGTGTCAAGGTGTTTATGAGATCATTATTTGCTATATAGGGGGATTCCAGAATACTTGAATTACAGGGTTTAACAGGTCCTTGCATACTTTTCAGGAGACTTGAGCACATATCAGTATGATGGCAAGGACAAAAGGGTTCTTGCACCCACATGCATTTGTGTTCTGTTTTACAACCTCTGCTGTGGTCCAGGTCTTAGGAAGGGAATAGTCAGACAGACAGTGATTCCAAAAGACAACCACAGATAGTTATCTTCTCACATTTCATTTATTTTTCAAATTTCAAAAAGAGACTTCACACAGTACCTCCAGCTGGACTATATTAATTCCATCTTTTTCCTTGCTTTCAACATAACATATAGACTTCGGAAGCCATCTTATAAATTATCTTGCCCGAATGGTAAAACTTTTAAATGTTCTCATAAAATATTGAAACATGGTAGTATAACAGACTCCACTAAAATTAAGTTGTTCAATTTCCCTTTAATAGTGATAGTGCTTAGGGCCTCCCTGGTGGCGCAAGGGTTAGCACACAACCTATGACTCAATCTGCAGGCACTACAGCACAAGTTCGATTCCGGTCAGCCAGGAAGCAACCCACATGGCGCAGCAGACCTCTCCTGACTCGCCCACTGCTCCCTTCAGCAGTGTGTTTCAGTCAATCTACCTGCTCTGTTCCCCACTGTGTCTCTGGTGAATCCTCTCACCTCCCACACCTCTGGCCTGTGCCCCAGCTCTTGTATGCATAAATAAATAAGTCTTTAAAAAAATAGTGATAGTGCTTAGAGTAAGTGGAAAGTAATACTTCTCGTTGTCTAGAAGTTGGTGGATCCCAGTTGATGTTTAAATCCATGATCCTTCCCAGCAGTTTAGGGAGGAAAGAGTGGGATCCATACCAGGTTCTTGGCTATAACCAAATTGGACAATTATGGTTGAAAAACCAAAATTGGACAATTTTTCTACGTGAATACATAGGACTCCCTCACATGATGGTGGCTGTGTTGTCAAACTAGCCTTTAGAAAAACCTCAGGTTTCCCTCCGGAGTCCACTGAGTGGAATACATTTATGTGGAGAAGATTATTCGTGGGCAGAAAAGGACAGGGTTTGCGTTTCTGCTGATTCAGCAGAGTTTATGGTCAAAATAATTCATCTTCTAGTTTTAAGGCAGTAGGCAGACATAGCTCTGCATATACGCCTTCTTCACCTTTTTCATTCCTCTCTTAGTCTTCTTTCTTTTTTTTTTTTGTAAGATAAAGGTCAGCATCTAAATTTTTCTAAAAAAGGATCAAACTAGATTCCAATTCACTGGAGCCATGGCTCCATCAAGCCATGTTAGAATAGGGATGGTCAGGTTTGGAGAGGCAGAGGTAGTGACTCTTCTGCCTTCTGAAGAAGTAAACAATCCCCTCAGAATCTGTGCTGGCAGACAGAGTCACTTCCTATGGCTGGCATTTTCCAGTCACCAGCTGGTACATATTGAACAGTTTTCTCTGTTACATGGAGGGTTATTTATCTGTAATAGTTTGGGGTAACTAGAACACTACTGCCACTGCAATTCCTTTTGGCTAATTTATTGTTGCATTTAATGTCATGGATAGATTAATACAGTCATTACTCAGTTGCATTTTAAATAGTTTGAACTAGCAAGTTATGTTGAGAGATACTTTTGGAGTTGTTACTTACAGGGAGTCTTCTTTTTACTTCCTCTGAAAAAATTTTAACTTGCTATAAATGTTTACATCATTGCATCATGTAAAAAAATGGTACTGTACAAAAAGACAAGACAAAACTTTCTTAATAACTTCAATGGTAGGTTTCCTCTACTTTAATGATGTTGGAAATGCAAATAAAATGGAATCTTATTACAATGTGACCCATTATTTGAGAATATGATACTACAATTCAAAATGGGTCTCCTTTATAATATATAAAGATACTACATTAACCTTGTGCTCAAAATTAGCAACATAAAGGGGGTTCCTTTCCCTTTAATTTTTATGGCTTAAGTGCAATAAATTATATGAGGTTTATAACATATGATCTGTACATATGATTTGTAAGTAATATCAAGTTCAAGTTCATGACTCCAAGAAGACTCTGGCTGTTTAGAACGCGGAAGGCTGGGAGCAATGACTTACATTGAGGAAGTTGGTTTGTGCTGTGACTATGGATTATCTAGTTCAAAGAACCACCGACTGGGTGTCTGAAAAATGGCTCTGCCTCCAAATAGCAGAATGCAGGGCTGTGAGCTAATGCTCAGGAGAACAGGTAGAGAGAGACTCACACTGGTTAAACGTAATTTAGTGGATCACAACTTAAAAGTCCACTAGCTTCATGTGTGGCTTAATAAAACGTACTTAATAAAAATTACTTAGAATATGGGCTTTTATTGAATTTCTATACTGTGCCTGAGCTATTCGCTAGGATTACAACAATGAATACTGTATCCACCATAGGGAGTTCATGAGATAGTAGCTGTGATAGAAGCAGGGATTTTACAAATAGGCAGATTGAAAAAAATGATTAATTGCCATGTTTATGGTATTTGGGAACTCTGTATTCAAATCCCAGTTCTGACACTTACAAATCTTGCAAACTAGAGTGAGTTTCTTTAGCTCTCAAGATCTCAGTTTCCTACTATGGAAACTGGAAGTGGAGCTACTGAGTTCACTGAAATATCATGAGGACCCAGTGAGTTGATGGGTGCACAGAGCTTGCATGGAGACCGACACAAAGTTAGACCTTCCCAACTGAAAGCTGCCATTTCACTGACAGACTACTCCACTGTACCTGACCACTAGCACATGGATTACGGTGAATGTCATCCACAGTGAAATTGACCAGCACTTATTGAGTACTTTCAGTGGGTCATGTACTGCATAAAGAATTTCACTTGATATCTAATTCCTCCCCACAATCTAAAGGAGAGGGAAAAAGATTATCTTTATCACACAGATGAGGAAATTGAAGCTTTGAGAATTTAAAAAAATCTGCCAAGGTAACAAAGATAGTGAATGGTATAGCTAAGTATTTGCATCATGGTTATCTGATTCCAGGGCCCATGAGCTTAAGCATTATACTGTTTGCTCTTACATAGCATGTCATTATTAACCTCCTCCCCACAGTAAACCAGGCTTCTTGATGCTCCTTTTGCAGCCTGTCCTGTGTGCCACCCCACTTGTCCAATGTGTGCATGGGGGGAAGGTGGATGTGTGTTCAGGTGCTGTGATGCTGACTGACATTCACTCCTTATCCTGTGCGTCCCTTACAGGCGAGCCTTCCCGGTGGTCCTCCTCGCACTGTGATTGCTGCTGCAAGAACGGCAAGGGCGACAAAGAAGGGGAAAGCGGCACATCTTGCAATGACCTCTCCACCTCCAGCTGCGACAGCCAGTCTGAGGCCAGCTCTCCCCAGGAGACGGTCATCTGTGGCCCCGTGACACGCCAGACCAATATCCAGACTCTGGACCGGCCTATCAAGAAGGGCCCCGTCCAGCTGATCCAGCAGTCAGAGATGCGGCGGAAAAGTGATCTGCTCCGGACTCTGACTTCAGGCTCCAGGGAGTCGAACATGAGCAGCAAAAAAAAAGCTGTTAAGGAAAAGCTCTCAATTGAGGAAGAGCTAGAGAAGTGCATCCAGGATTTCCTCAAAATCAAAATTCCAGATCGGTTCCCTGAGAGAAAACATCCATGGCAATCTGAACTTTTACGGAAGTATCATCTATAGGGGAGGGCGGGGGGTGGGAGAAACAGCAAATTATTCGTGTCACCATTTTGAAATAAACCTTCTAAAAAAATTCACATTTGAAAAGAAAAATACAGTCCACATTTGTTAAAACATGATAGCCCATTGTTACACTACTGCCTATTTACCTGGTTCACCTTAAAATGTAAACCCACAGGGTAGATTTCTTTCCAGATGTGGAAGTATGAAAATCTTTCATTGTTGTTATCTGTTTGTTTGTTAACTTTGTCCCATGTGCTGAATATCTTACTGTATAATGAGAGCCAGCTACATAAGCATAGCTGAGTGTCCTTGGGAGTCATTTGTCCCAAAGTGTTTTTTTTTTTTTTTCCTCATTTTCTACCTCCCTTCTTTGAATAGAATATGGAAAAAAGAGATCTGGCCCAATGGCATGTTTGAATTTTTTAATTTTTCTTTTCCCTTTGTTTATAGTATAAGGGGGAAATGGCAGATTTATATGACTTTTCACTCAAACCTATAATGTGCCAGTTTATATCGACTCCGTATGCATGAGTATTTGTGCAACACAAGTGCAATGGAGTTTGTATATACACACAATGCACATGACCCCAGGGTCTGCACCTCCAAAGGCTAGTGCCCCTGCTCCAGCAGCGCCTTCTTAGAGCACTTCAGACAGATGAGTCTCTCTGCTCCTTTCTTAAAACCCTGGGAATATTTCCCAGCCTCAATTGGCAACACTTTCTAACATCAAATAACACTCATCATCAAGAAATTGTCTTTCTTAATTTAAAATGAACACTGTCTGGCTCCATTTGATTGTATTGCTCTTTCTCTGCACTAAAAGGTGAGAAGAGTAAGCCACTGTATCAAAAAAAAACAAACATTAATAGCAACAAAAATGACTACTAATTGACCCCACATCAGACTTCTCTACCCTTCTCTACCTTTTCTCAATGTTTTCAGAGTTCTTACTGCCCTTAATGCTGTGGCCTTCCTACATAACCCAGACGAAGTTCTTTGCATCCCTGTGTAGTTGTGGAACTAAGCCCACACACAGACTTGAATAAGGGTTTGGACTTTTGTTTAAGAGAGAATTTTCTTCCACACACGTCCTAATAATTTCTTGTGACAAGTTTTGTTTGCCTTTGGGATTCTGGGATTTGGCTGTGCCCATACTAGGATTGGACTGTCATATTACAACGTCACATTACAATGTCTATGAACAACCCAACTGGAGAACTGGAGCTCCACAGTTAAGGTTTTGACTTTCTCAACTATCTTTCTTGAGTATATCTTTGACCTGTATAGACACAGCCAAAAAAAACTGTTAATAGCCATCATTCATGTGACTGTGTATTCTATTAGTGTAACAATAGCTCTTTCGTAGACTTGTGGTAAATGAAGATTAAAACACCAGTTTTTACTTTCAGCATTCTTCATGCATTTCAGTGGGGACTGAAAAAATTTGTCAATTATTAATTGGTGCCAAGCACACCTAATTTTTTTATTGTGTGTGTATGTGTATATGTATCACAGGTAATAAAAGCAATGTGTGATATCTGTAGGAGGGAAATACATTGACCAATTGCTTCTTTTTGAAATCTCTCTTTGATCACACTTATTATATAAGGGATTCAGTCTTGGTTCATGTTATTAGTACCCCTTAGTATATGGTATCTTTTTCAATTTTTGTAATGTTGCCTTCACATCTGGTGATTCAACCAATGTTTTCTTGTCCTAACATTGCTAATGCAGTGTAAAAGTTTTACTTAAGTGAACGAAAAAAGTTATTTGAGGAGTTATCAAAAGAATTATAATTTTATGAATTTAAGTAATATTGTTCTATGTATTAATATTTTAACGGATCTTAAACATGGCATAGAATTATAAGGCCTACCAGTATGTCTTCATTCTTTTCAATGTTTCTTACTACCACACCAAAATACCATCTTAGTAATAGTAGGTGAACCTATAGAAAATTATAAAAGTTAAAGGCTCAAGAAATTGAATTGGTGAAAATATTCCCAAACTCACTGTGTTCAAATGATTTCTGTGGTTCTGATGGAAGTACTGTTGAGTAGTTGGGGTCTAAATAAAATGACCTAAGCCCCAACTTCCTTACATTTCAGATTTCACTATAATGGCATCATGATAGATACACACTTACAAGATCTGGAGGACTATGAGGGTAGCAATTAATCCACTACATGCCTTAAATAGGAAATTAAGCAAAGAAAACATTCAAGGCATATTTCTCTGTCTCATGACCTGACATGAATGACTTTCTGCTTGGGCACTCTTTTATAACTTTCAGGGACAAAACTGTAGGAAATTTGTTTAAAAACAATATTTTTAATCTTGGCTAATTTTAAACTGATACCCACCACAAATAGTCCAATCAGCTAAGCCAACAACGCAGTATTCATTTTTGTGGGTATTGGTATGGAGATGAACATAGACCATGTGCAGTAAAAGACTCTGAGGAGGCATTGGCTAAATGGAAATCTTCAGTTCAAGTGTAAATGGAGTTAGTATGTGAGGTCCGTGTTCCCTTCAATGTTAGAAATGAGTTCTGGAGAAGTGAGTTGTAAGATTAAATGCTTTAGCGGCCCTGGTAGTCACTGTGAATCAGGACTGTTTCCCTGAACTTAAATAGTTTTTAGAACTTTTAGTTCAATTCTGGACAGAACAATATATGTGGTTCACTTCTTGAATATTGGTTATGACAAGGGCCATAAATTGCTGATCTGAAGAAGCTAGTAGCATCAGATAGACCAAATGAATGAGGAATCACACATGGAGTGCCCCAAACTTTGGTTGCCTCTGGGAAATCTTGCAATACAAAAATCCAATGAGTTGGAGGTTGGAGGGGGTCATTCCCTATAGTTTTGTGGGTCTCCTAAAGTTAGAAACTTAAAAATTTCTCCTACCCACTGTCGAAGAGGGAGTGATCTGCACTCAGCAAGAAAAGGGGAAAAGAAGAAAATAAAACTAATAGGTTATTGTGATAGTATGCTCTCCCTCCCCCTGCTAAGAAAACTTGCACTAGATGTGACCATGAAACAAAGTAAAGTGGCTTCCATTATACACAGCAATGTTATCCTTTGTAATTGTAGCCACAGTTATCTTAGTGGAAATGCATGCACGGTGAATTAAAATAAAAGGGGAACAATGCACAAATCTTAAGTGTTCCCTTTGCTCTTTCTTCCTCTTTAGTAATGTCTACCCTTATGTGATTCATGGGGGGTGGGGAGCACATTTATTAAAAAGGGCCTGACATGGAATTTTTCACATTTTGATTGGCCTTATTTGATTGAGATGCTACTTTTTCCAAAGGCACAGATGTGTGTTGTTCATCCTGGATCTTTTCAGTTGCTCTTGCTTCTGCTTCTGCAATACTTTTGCTTCTCTCGGGTTTAGATTCTTTTCTGATTATCCTTTGCCTGTGCCAAGAAAAAGATGCTCTAGTGAGAAATAAAAGGCATATCTGGTGTTTTGCAAAATTACTTGACACCAGCTCCCAAAATGGGAGTCAGACTTTGATTCTCCTACATTTTCCTTCGTGGCAATTTTAACCTTCCAACTTTGTTACCACTGTAGATTAATTCGCTACAGTTGAGTGAGTGCTAGTATTTTCTGTCATTAGATATCAGGCCATGAATTTGACTAGCTTTGGTCTTCCAGGTGTTCTTTACTAGAATTAATAATATTCTGAACTTTTAGGACAAATTCTTTGTCACCTCCATTTGACATAGAAATGTTCAATGGAAAAATGAAGAGAGTTATTTTCTTATCCCTGGTGACTCTGTGGCAGATAAATGTTTTTGCCAATTTGCATGCTGGGTTATAGGTTTAACATGGACCATTTCTCTCTTTAATGTCTTGGTATTGTTGGCATCTTGCAATCTTGATTGCCCACTGTTCCGATTTATTTATTTTCCTTTATAGTATCAAAATAACACACCAGAGAAGGAATCAGGGCAAGCATTCTGTATTCTGAGTTAAAATGGAGTTAGATGTCATTTGTACAGGACTGTACAATGATTAATATCTGCTGAGAAATTAGACCAAATGAAACCTGCTGGAATGGGGTTGATTTATATTGCCTTCATCATTTTGGTTTTAGATGAAATGGTTATTGTTCTCCACCCCTGCTGAAAGAAAAGAGTCTTAAACTTTAATAATCACAGGGTTTGGATACAACCACGGAGCTCATTTGTTTGAAATACCTTCTTTTTGTCATTTTGCCATATATATTGGCACAGAGATTCTTTTTCAGTGACCTCCATTGCAAATGTTTTAGCCAAGTCCAAATGCTTAGCATTCACAAGTCATTTGTAGACCTTGTAGATGCAGAACCCTTTATCCTAACCGCAAAGATACTGATTCAGAAATTAATTTAGGGTCAAGGAATCTGTATTTGGGACTAGTATCATTAATAATTTTGATGGGCAAGCCTGTAGACCTTACATTGAGAAACAGCTCTTTAAGAATAATGCAGATGTCAACATTTCTTCACTTCCTTGTGGTACTTCTTCACTTCCTCTTACTTTCACTCTACTACAAATAAGTTAAAGTATACAGTATTCATTATCTTAAGAGGAAATCCCAAAAGAACAGCATCCCAGGACTAGGGCACAGAACTCCATGATTCTTTTGCCCGTTTATCTGCCTATGAGCCATAACTTCCTCTCAACTTTGTGTGTGTTGGTGCTTTTTTTGTTTTGTTTTGGCCAAAAAAAGTCTGCATCCATATAGTTACATTCTTGGGTTGATGGGAGCACATTTCTGAGTGAGCTGTATCCTAATGATACCCAACAGAGGGTAAAAATAACCTTTCCAAGGTCATTTTCCGACCCCTTTGCAGTTGTAGTCTGAGAAACTTGAAAGTGACCCGTAACTCAGTGTTGTGATTGATCCCAAAGGTGGTTCCATTAACAGCACTTACAAATACCACTAAAATGGATGTGGGATCATTAGTAAATTTAGTTGTATTTCATCAACAAAATCCTGAGTTATTAAACTACTAATTTTGTCCAATTTGACTCAAACAGGATTAAAGCTCTCAGTAGCTAAAGATTCTGAATCCTAACATTAAGTAAAAACTTCAAGCAAAATCCATGAGGAGAAAACACAAAAGAAAGTGAATTCAAAATAATGGTTATATTTCATATGCAAGTACATAAAGTTATGTAAATTTCTGCTCACTCTGGCCAGGGGAGGTAGCCATTTTGTGATTTTTTAGATAAATAAAATTTGGGAGGCTTTCAGTGATTCAGTTAGTACTATGCTATAGCAGAATACCTGGAAAAACATAAAATTCTCACATGTCCCCCTAAATAGAGAATGAGTGGCATAAATTCATGCTTCTCAAGCTCGTTGGTGAATATTTAAGACTACTGCTAAATGTAAGTGAAGAATGATTGATGAAACTAATGAACTGGTAATTATTTGATCAAGATTTTATTTGGAGTTAAGGTTGACTCTGTTTTCCTCTTTTACTTCCCAAATGGGATTCTTTTACTGTCCCAGCTTCCTAACCTTTAAAAATTGTTCCTCTTCTTTATGAAAAAATGTTGTTGCTCATTGGATAGAAAATCGTTAGTTTCTAGACTGTCATCTCTGCTTTATTTAGGGAATTTGATTTGAAAAGTCTAAAAAAATCTGTCTTGGCCCAGCAACTACCAAGGGGCTTGTGTCAGGGATGGGGAGGGAGGTGATTTTTCTGTTAACCAGACTCCTAAAAGCACTTTTATGACACATGGGGATTTATTAAGTCTCCTCTTTCCAGTGAGCTCTTTTAGCTTGTGAGTTTATTCTTAGAATTGACCCTTCGCTTATTTACCTGAATTTGCACAATAAAAATTCAACAAACTTCCAACTCTTTCCCTGCTGATGTTGGCTCCATCCATCACAAATGAAGCAGGGTTGATGTACAACAAAGTAGTAAGGAAGCGTGGTTTTATAATTGCATCTCTCTCTCTGTCTCTCTCTCTCTGTGTGTGTGTACATGCGCAGTTTTTAGGGTGGTGTTGAGTTAGTGGCTAATGTTCCATAGTAATGCTATTTGAGTGTACAGAAAAAGACTTTGCTCACACAGTTTAGCAACTTTTAGTTCAGTACAATAGTTTGTGTTTTACAAGACAAACTTGTAAAGTTTGTGTCAGTTTTTGAGAGTGTTGAATAATAATAAGATGTTCCATAAAAAATGTCCTGATATGAAATTCAAGCATTACAATTTCTGTGTAAAAATCAAACTCATTTTCAGTTAATAGTGGCAATCTACTCAAAAAAAGCGGGAGAGGGGAGAAGAAAGGAGGGAAAAGAGAGAGAATGCCTTGAAAGATAGAATATACAAAGTTTACACTGATTTAAGTTAGTAGTTACTCTGAATTGCAGCCAGTGGTCAGTGGTTTTGTCCTTGAATGTGAGAGACCAAAACAATTTCAGGAAAGACTATTGTCTGACCCGTGTGGATTATGTACATTTTAGATAGTGACTGATTCAAGAAGGGTTTTGCCTCGTAGGGGACTTTGGGTGATGCCTGTTGATATTTTTGATTGTCATGACTTGAGAGGTGCTACTGGCATCTATGGCTGTATCATTCCACAAGGCACAGGATGGCCCCCCACAAAAAAAGAATTACCCAGCCCATAATGTCAGTAGCACTGAGACTGAGAAACCCTTAGTTAATAGTGGCTCAATTTTTCCAAGGCATTCTTACCATTAGAAAGACTTCTAGAGCAAGAGATAGGCTAAAATAATAGTATTACTACCTTACATCTGCATAGGGTTTATTTGGAATTATATCTTTGAATAGTCATAAACAGTGAGATTTAGAGAGAGAAAAACATCGTTTTTCCTGATTTGTAATGGTAGTGGATAGACCTGTGGTCTGGTCCCTGCCTTCTATTTCAGTCTCTTTCTGCCTCAGAAAAATACTTCAGTAAATTCATCAAGCTTCTAACAGCTAGATGTGTTTGCTGCAAAGTACTCGGGGAACATTTTAAGTTCATATGACCCTATTAGGATGTTTTTCAAGGTGATCAATAATAGACCAGGTGCTTTCAGAAATAAGACAAACTTACAAGCCAGTGATTTAATCACATTTAACTGCTCATTGTGCACTTTGTTTCTTTGGGTTAAATATCCCCTTGGTAAAAATGATACTTAGATCTTGGAAAATAGGATTTTCAGACACACTGGTGAACCCCCATGCCTTATTTCAAAGATTTGACATGTCTAAGCATGGTCTCTGATTATTGAGCCTTATTGTCGAATGTGCATATACTGACTTTGTAAGGACATAGAATATATTTGTATCTAAATAATTTGACATTTTTCTTTATCATCCCAATAGCCCATTGATGGAATAAAGGTCCTATCATTCTATCCCCATTTTATACAAGGGAAACTGAGGGCCACTCATTTTAAGTAATTCATTTAGTCACTTTTTTCATGCACTTATTAAACAGGTATTTGTGGAGTATATAACATGTACTCAAGACTCACTGTGATGAGTCTTATAATCTACAAGGGAAAGAAACTTGGAATGTAGTACTTGATTTCAGATCACCCAAACTCTACAGTAATGTTATTTCCATATGTAGATCTGGTCCATAGTTTAAATCTATGGCTTAAATATTAAAATATATATATATATTTAAGATTTATTTATTTATGCAAGAACTGGGGTACAGGCCAGAGGTGCGGGAGGGTGAGAGAATTCATCAGAGACAGAGCGGGGAGCAGAACAGACAGATGGACTGAAAACACTGCTGAGGGGAGCAGCAGGTGAGGCAGGAGAGGTCTGCTGTGCCATGTGAGTATCTCCCTGGATGGCCAGGAATCAAACCCACGCTGCAGAGGCTGTGGGCAGCTTCACAGTACTGCGCTCAACCCGCTGCACCACTGGGGAGTCCCTTAAATATTATAATGTATATTAAGGACTTACTATGTGCCAGGAACTCTACTAAGTACTTTAGATGCCTTATCTCATTTAATCGTATAAGAATCCAATGAGGTAGGATCTGTTAATAGACTCTTTTTACAGATGATGAAAACCAGGCTTAGGAAGGAAAAGCAGCACTTAGGTCGACTGTGGCAGATTTTCATCTGGGTTTATTAAACTCCAAAGGCTGAGGACATAGCCACCTCATTAATCTCTTTTGTCTGTTCTCTGGATTTAGCCTGTTTCTGATTTCTTCTATCCTGAGCAAAAGGTAGCCAGGATTCCAGCTTGACATCCTTCCTGAAATCATTAGCTATTTTAAATTGCAAATACCATTCAGCTTGTGTCTCCTTAGGAAACAAAAGAAAGGCATACTTGGAGGGGCAGTTCTGCCCAGCACAGCTGGGCTTTGTGGCACAGCCTTATCAAGGGGCAATAACATGGTAGAACAACTATCTGGTGAGTTGTGATAGCCTGTGAAACTCAAAGTGGTAAGAGAATGTCCTTGTCATTTGCTTGTCCTTGTCAGGACCATGACATCTGCAACTGATGGCTCTGCTGTTAACATGTTACAGGACAAATTTTAAGAGAAGAAGGGGTGTGTGTGTGTGTGTGTGTGTGTGTGTGTACATGCAGGTATCTGCTATTTTCATCTTTTAACTTTTTAAATAATGTTTTTGTTCAAGACAGTTCAGAAATACAAGTATGATAGATTGCTCCCAGTATCATATTATTACTATTCTAAGTTGGAAAAGAGGCAGCTACAGAAAAGAAATTGCACTGAAGTGTGTGTGTATAAGTTGTATGTGTATTTATGTACAAAATTTTGTGTATATATGTATATATGTGTGTACATTTATCTAAATGTATATATATATCTATATCTATACATATATATACACACATAAATCTTATAGTTTGAAACTTGAATTTTGAGTTTGAGAGACTTCCTATTATTCCTAATATTATTATTTGGTTTCTTAGTCCAATATATTTCTGATTTGTAAATTTATTTTCCACTATGAATGTATGTATTTATTTATGGTACAGATAATACTCTATGTTCAACATCTGTGGACACAAAACCAAAAAAAAAAAGTGCATTTAAGGAAAGCCACACTTGTGAAAATTGGCCCTCTTATTCAAACCATTTATTTGAATTTCAAATTATGTGTTTTCAAACTTGTTCATTAAAAAAATGACCAAATGGACATGGTGATGTTTAGGAAGGAAAGAATAAGAAAATGTAGGTCTGTGGTAGCACCGATCCAACAGTTAACACGTTAATTAATGGTAGTACTTCACCTATCTATCAGTTAATTTACTATCCTTATTGATTTTCATCATTCATGGGGGTTTGTGTGCTCCTACACAAATTATAGATGATGCTAATTATTTATTTAATTATTTTAAAGCTGTGGTAAATAATCTATAATATGCTTATTGTAAATATATATTAAAGCTCAAGGGCACATTGTTATAATAACCAAACACTTTTTAGACCTCTGCAAATAACCCATTAAGCCTGTTAATAAAAATACCAAAATAGTTGTTCAAATAAGAAGCAATATAAAGTCAAACAAAAGAGAATATTACTTATCTGCTTTAGCATACTGTAGACATAATGACCAAATACTAAAATTTGGGCATTTTTAAGGGTACAATTTTTTTTTTTTTCATTCAAAGCCATGTGCTTTGTATATTTTGGAGAATGTGACATATTTTAAGTCAACCTATGCAAACAGAACTTCCCTGGAGCTCCCTGGGATCAGTTTGTATGCACACAAGCACATACTTTCAGAAACCCAGCCTGGCTCCTTGCCCTAGCTCAGCTGATAGTCTACACATAGATTCCTCCTCCCAGGGTCCTGCCAGGTTGGCTCATGCAATGAAAAGCTTTCACAAACTAATTGATTTAAATGATTATGGTCATATGTTTTTTCCATAGGCTCACTGCAGATGTGGTCTTAGAACATATGCAAAAAAATCAATTTTGTGGCCATTAAATTTTTTAATTGGGTTTAAGGAGATGTTAAGGAATAGTTTTTACAAAAACTTTGGACCGGGGGAGGAGGTCATTCTGGTTTCATGCTCCCCTATCAATTTTTCCACTGATTTATTTTTTAATTTCAAAACAGAAAGTTGAAACAGGAGAGTTTTGCTGGAAACATGCTTAATGTATTTTTTGTAACCATGGGAGGGTGGGGAAGGGACATTCCAAATTCTGGTCTAAAGAAGTGGATTCATGAATTACTGGAATGGTATCCTTCCTGATACACACAGGACAAATTTCAGAGAGTCCCATTGAAAGCTATTAATAAAATCTGCTGTAAATCGTCACCACTTAGATTAGTGATGGCACCCAGCTTGTTTCTCTTCCAGGACATCAGTCCCATAAAATCAAGAGTCTTTGTGTTGGTTGAAGGAAATGGACTAATGATCTCGGTTGAAATCCTGTTCTCATCTTTCAGAAACAGCAGAACTTTAGTTAGGAACTAACAAAATAATTTGTCCAAATCAAATCGACATGTTTAAATAGTATCAACATCACTCACAACTCTTATAAAGACCTGCTGATTAGATCACTGGGAGATTCCAAATATAGTTTGCTGTGGGTTAGCAAGTTCCTCTTGCATTCATAATGATTTGAATGTAATGCCACCATAGACAGAGGAGCCTGCATTTTGTTGGTCCTAACACTGAGTGGTGATCTATTAGGGACTTCCTCATGCTACTTTTCCCTGACCTCATTCAACTGTTTGATGACTTAGGTCAGTTTGTTACACACTGATGTATACCAAGTGACACCCATTGAAATTACCTCTTCTCCTTTCCAATGCAGTTTGCTTGTATATAAGTATAATGTCACATTGTTTACAGGTTCTATTTGTGTGTAATTGTGATAGTGGATTTAGCGCAAACTTTAAAGGAATCTGTTTACTGAATGGTGTTAAAATAAATGTGCTTATTACAGTATAAACATCATTAATTATGGACTCACATGAATGCATGTTTACATGTTGTCAATTCCCAGCAGCTCAGTTATTCAGCAAAAAGTCTGCGGTTTGTGAATAGCAAATATACATAAACTACTGTGACTCTAATAATTCTATAACTGTTTTTACCTTGGTATGTAACACTGTAGATTTTAGCCTGCTGTATTTCTTTCTTATCTATTTGTTTTTGTGAGAGAAACATGATTAAAGACCATACAACTAATTGCCCCAATGGAATTGCCCACCATATTGGCAATTGTTGGCCCACCCAAAAGGCATCTGCCTATTGATGGAACAATGGCCCTGAGCAGCATATAAATATATACATACATATCCATGTATGCAATATCTACATTGCTAATTACTACCATCTGTTCTCACTGCCAATGGAAACAAACTGCTATTTTCTTTGGAATCATTGATGGATATTAAAAAAGTTAATTTGCTATTAACTGCTTTCATATTATGTTTAGTTTATATAGTATGGTAAATGATACAGGTGCAGTATCAGTATTGTAAAATTGTGTGGTGAAAACTACAAAAGTAATTATGTGGATATATTTTAAAAGGCAGATCAGAAACTATATTTCAGATTCTTGTGTGAATATAATTACAGAAATAGGTAACTATTTTTATGTGTTTCCATAAATGACTCCATTTCATATACATTGTAATTTAGCACCAACCATAATAAATCATTTGGTAACATCTAGTTGTTATATATATATATATATATATATCTATTTTCAGTATACATACAAGACTGATGACTCAACATTATTTCATGCTAACTCAAGAATTTTAGATGGAAGGTAATTATCATTGCAATTAACAAATTTCTGGTTTTTGTGGCAGTTTGTTGGATTGGGGAACAAACAAAAAAGAAGGATACTTTATAACTTGGTTATTTTAAGTTCTTAGACTGCAATGAATGAAGGCCTTACCTCTGCTTCTTCTTAATTATGTAGTTTTATAGTATTTATCAAGCCTCTTTAAACCTCAATCTGTAAATAGGGAATAAAAATAGTAGAAACCACATAAAATTCCTTTGAGAATTAAATTTGACTATCCAAGTAAAACAGCATAGTAACTAGTACATTATGTAAATGCTCGCTAACCCTTGTCCATTCTTATTACTATTATCCAAAATGCTATTTATTTTTCTGTGAAGTATTCTAAATTTTTTCATATTTTCCAAATGCTCAGAATCCCAGAGAGCTCCAGGTACACTCCATATACTATAGTATAGTCAAAACCAAAAATTGTTTTCCAAAATGCAAACTTGAAAGAGAAGTTTGGCTTCAACACTGAATATCTAAGTATTTTTTTTTCCTTGTTAGCCTTTTATAGCATTGCTTATAGCAGTCAGTATGTTTTTAACCAAAAGGGGGAATTATAAAGAGAAAAAAAGAGAATTCCAAAGCTTGGAGGAACTTCAGAAAAAAATTAGCCTCTTGCTGCTGTGGAGTATATTTGGCAGAACACTTGCCCATGGTATCTGCTGGAAAAAGGAAGGGAATCTGATGATGTACAGTTTGGGAAATATAGCCTTTTTACATACCACTTGGTAATTTTAAAATGCTCTTTATCATATTTAAAGACCTGGGAGATATTCAATAAAAGACTTTTCAAACTTTATTTAACTTAGAATCATCCA